GGATAGAATGTTCTATATATATACCTATTAAAATATATATATCTATATATATCTATATATATATATCTATAAGTCCATGTGGTCTAATGTGTTGTGTAAGGCCAATGTCTTCCTACTGATTTTCTATCTGGATGATCTAGCCATTGATGTAAATGGGGTGTTAAAGTCTTCTATTATTATATTATTGCTGCCAATTTCCCCTTTTTAGGTCTATTAATATTTGCCATGTTTTAGTGCTTCTAAGTTGGATGCATATGTATTTATAAATGTTGTATCTTCTTACTGGATAGACCCCTTTATCATTATGTAGTGCTCCTTTCTGTCTTTCATTACAGTCTTTGTTTTAAAGTTTATTTTGTCTTATATGAATATAGCTACAACAGCTTTCCTTTTATTTCCATTTTTATGGAATATCTTTCTGGCCCCCACTTTCAGTTTGTGTGTATCCTTACTTTTGAAGTGAGTCTCTTGTAGGCAGTATATAAATGTGTCTTGTTTCTTTTTTTTAAACCCATACAAACACCCTATATATTTTTTTTATAGATTTTTAAAATTTATTTGACAGACAGAGATCACAAATAGGCAGAGAGGCAGGCAGAGAGAGAGAGGAGGAAGCAGGCTCCCTGATGAGCAGAGAGCCCGGTGCGGGACTCAATCCCAGGACCCTGTGATCATGACCTGAGCTGAAGGCAGAGGCTTTAACCCACTGAGTGACCCAGGCTCCCACAGACACTCTATATTGATTGGAGAATTTAATATGTTTACACTTAAATTAATTATTGATAAGTGTGTACTTATTGCCATGTTGTTAATTGTTTTCTGTTGGCTGTTTTTGTAGTTCTTCTTTCTTCCTTTCTTCTCTTTTTCTCTTCCTTTGTATTTTGATGATTTTCTTTAGTGTTGTCTTTAGATTCCTCTCTCTCTCTCTCTCTCTTTGGGGTGTGTGTGTGTGTGTGTGTGTGTGTGTGTGTGTGTGTATTTACTATCAGTTTTTGCTTTGTGGTTACTAGGAAGTTCACATATATCATATTATGAATATAATTCAAGTTTTTAAAAAGATTTTATTTATTCATTTGACAGAGAGAGAGTCTGTGCACACAAACAAGAGGAGTGGCAGGCAGTGGGCAAGAGAGAGGGAGGCTCACCGCTGAGCAGAGAGCCTGATGTGGGGCTCCATCCCAGGAGATTGGGATCATGACCTGAACCAAAGGCAGAGGCTTAACTGACTGGTCCACCTGGGCACCCCTCTAATAGTTGATTTTAAGCTGATAGCAACTTTAATTAAATTTGAACACATTCCAGAACTAAATTTTTACTCCCCTCTCCAGAGCTGTTTTATGTTTTTGATGTTGTATTTTGTTTTTATTTTATGTATCTCTTAACTAATTATTATAGTTTTAGTTCATTTTATTACTTTATAAGTGGCTACTTCACTACCTACACTATATATTTACCTGTTCCAGTGAGATTTTTCATTTTTATGTTTTCTTGTTATTAACTAGTGCCATTTCTTTTCAGCTTAAAGAAATCCCTGTAACATTTTTTTGTTAGGCCAGTTTAGGAGTGATGTACTTTAGTTTTGCTTATGTGGAAAACTTTTTATCTTTCCTTCAATTCTGAATGATAACCTTACTGTATAGTATATTCATGGTTGGAATTTTTTTCTTTTCAACCTTTTGACTATGTCAGGTGACTTGCTCTTGTCCTGCAAAGTTTCTGCTGAGAAATCCACTGATGGCCTTATGAGGTTTCCCCATGTACATAACAATTTGTTTTTCTCTTGCTGCTTTAAGATTTTCTTTTTACTTTGAACTTTTGACATTTTAATTGCAATGTGTCTTGGTGTGGATCTCTTTGTGTTCATCATGTTTGGAACTCTCTGGACTTCCTAGAGCTGGATGTCTGTTTCCTTCCCTTGGGAGGTTTTTAGCCATTATTTCTTCAAATAACTTTTCTGCCCTGTTTTCTCTTTCTTCTTTTGAGACCTCCTATAGTGTGAATGTTATGCTATTTGATGTTGGTCTCTTAAGTCGTCTTCAATTTAAAAAAAATTTTTTTTTCTTTTTGCTGCTCTGTCAGGGTGAGTTTTATTGCTTTGTCTTCCAGCTTGCTGATGTGTTCTGTTTCATCCAGTTTGCTATTGAATATTCAATAGTATATTGAATTCTTCAGTTCAATTCTTCAGTTCCATTATTATGTTCTTCAGTTCTGTAACTTCTGTTTGGTACTTCCTGATAATCGCTTTCTTTTTTGAAGTTTTCACCATGTTTACTCATTCTTCTCCTGAGTTTGATGAGCATCTTTATGACTATTAATTTGAATTCTTTATGACTATTAATTTGAATTCTTTATCAGGTAGCTTTTCATCTCTTTCTGAGGTTGTATTTTTTGTTTTTTGTTTTTTTCCCATTGGGAAGTATTTATTTGTTTCCTCATTTTGCTTCACTCTGTGTTGGTGTCTGTGTATTGGGCAAAACAGCTCCTTCTCTCAGCCTTGAAGGAATAGCCTTGGTTAGGTGATGAATCCTCTCATTCACCCTTTCTCTAGCTCTTGGCTATCTCTTTGCGGTTGTCTAAACTGCCTGATTTATTCTTTATGTGTCCTAGCAGTATGTCAAGACCTGTTAATGTTCCAAGGGGAGGAATTTCATTTAGCACCTAGCTTAAGGCTGATTAGAAGCCAGCCCCTCAGGCAGCAGCTGTCAAAGTATGCAAATTTTTACAGTCCTTTGGGGCTGCAACTGGAAACCTAGTTGGCCTTTAGACCAGATGATCTAGAGTTGTCTCCTGGATGAGAGTTACAAAAATTAGGGCTCTAGACAAGTGTATAAGCTCCTTTATGGGAGGTCTTATTGAGCTATAGCAAGACCAAGAGGATGTGCAAGGATTGTGTCTCCCTGCCTGGGTTCCCTGTGTTCCTCTTAGTCCCTAGATATATGGGAAACCTGAAGCCTGTACTTCAGGCTGGAGCTCCAGGCTAAGTAAATAGGACTTTTTATAGGACAATTGTGTGTTTTAGTCTGCTATCTGTGCATTGCCCTGGGGTGGGTTGGGAGGTGGCCTACCAAGTATGGTCTTTCTAACTGTTACATTCCTATGGAACTCAGGAACACCAGCATCTTGGCCACTAGCGTTAGATGATCAAAGGTTTTCCCCTGTGTGGATGCTGTCCATGCACACTGAAATTATGCCAGTTTTGCCTATCAACAATTATACTTGGGTCTATTAAATCAATATGTTGCAAGCGCCAGAGAGACCTCATAATAAACCTCTTCATGCATGGATTCCATAGGTATCTCACAACCAACCTCCAGGATGACTTACAGTATGAAGCAACTAAAGTCCAGTTTCAGAACATGAGGGAAAAGACAGGGTATTGGGTACTGGAAACCTACAAAATATCTAATCTTACTTTATGGCTAAAACTCTTCTCTTTATTATAATTGTTTATGAGTTATAAAATGTACTGCCTCAAATTTCATTTAAAAAGTTGTTTTTCCTGCCTATTCTCTGAGGGTGGGATGATAGAGGGTGAGTAAAATATCAAAAGAGATTAAAAATCCCCAAACCACATCCTTGATTCCCAAAGTAGTATTAACCCAGGAGTGCTGCGATCCTCTGAGACCAGTGCTTCCCACCGCAGGCTCCTAGGACATCCTGGATTACTTGACCTTCCCTTCACTGTCTTTGAATTTTGAAGATTTTGCCAGGGAGAAAAGCAGCTAGGGAGAGGAAGGGGAAGGATGTGGGGTAAAGTATAAAATATACTTTTGGAAGAAAACAACTAACAATTCCCTTGACAAAATGTTGCTTGGCTTTACATTTTAGTAAGCTTTTTATTCAGTTTGATGGTGTCTGAGTTTCTACCATTATAACTGCATTTGTTTGGCTTAAGATTTTGTTAAGACTCTTAAAGTGGAACTACCTCTGGGACTGCATATGCCTACTGAGCAAGGATCTGCAAATCAATGACATTGACCATAGGAAGTGGTAAAACTATGGCAAATTGGAGAATACATGCCAGTCCATAGGGACAGCCTCTGCTTGGCTTGGCCAGCTGTTCATAGACAGGAGTGTGGACCTTATGATTGTTTTCAAAAGTCAGTAATCAGCATTTTTATGAAAAATTTCATAATTTTTAAAGTGTTAGCAACTAATCCCACATTAAAAAAAAAAACACACAGAGAGTTAAAAAACAAAACAAAACAAAAAACTTATCCATGGGCTGGATACTGTCCGTGGGTCCCCCAGTTAGCAACCTTCATTTTGGTTTTTACTGTTCACTGGACCCCTACTGTGAAATAACTTATCACATCCTTTGCTGGTATAGAGTAGAGAGAGGGAGAGAAGAAATGTAGGGCCATTCACACAGATCTGTGAGTGAACAGAGACGAGGAGAGCAGAGAGGAGAAGAGAGCAGTGAAAACTTCCTTATTCTGAAAGGACTGGCCATGGGCCACCAAGCCCCATGGTAGATATACTGCCTTTCCCTGTAAAAGAACAATATAAAAGAATAAGTCAAATCCTACTATTTCCGGATGTTGTTAATTCTGAATCTGAACTTTTTAAGTCATTCTTTACATATGGAACTCATTGAAGAATGTAAAAATTATTTTCAGGGGGAATGTGCAGTATCCCTAACTGATAAACAAGTTCATAATTCTTATTTACATACATATATATGAAAACTATACAAATGAAAACTACTTATAGGTAATTCTTTTCTATTCATTGATTAAACAGATCTCTAAAGACTTCTTACTATAGTTATATGTAAAAAATATTATATTAATTATATTTTATAACACATAAATTTAGCTTGTTTGGGTGGGTTTTTAACCAAGCTCTGAACATGGGATTTTATTGTGTTGCTCTGAACCTGATCACAACCCCTTCAGGTGGATGGCAAATGGGATCATCCTTCCACCCACCATAAGTTGGTAAATGTTCCCATTTCTCTGTGAGTTTATTGAAATATCTTCTTTTTACTTCCCCCAAAGGACAGCCTTTTCTGCCTCAGGGAGGAATAGAAACATAGACCACAATGATGGAGACCTCCCAGATGTGCACAAGAAGCTGCCATCCAGTGCTGGAGAGGACCGAGCCGTGCTGCTAGGGTTTGCAATGATGGGCTTCTCGGTCCTCATGTTCTTCTTGTTTGGAATAACCATTCTAAAGCCTTTCTTGCTCAGGTAAGAAACAGAGAAAGGAGACCCAGAATTTTCAATTCAGATCAGACCAAACACAGTGGTGGAGAAGAGGCTGGCTTTGGCTTCTTCAGCCCTCCTCACCATTATCTAAGGGAATATAGAAACACCTGTTTGTCTCTCAGCGCTGAGAGGCAGTTGAGGGTGGAGAAAGGGGTGGTAAGAAAGTGGAAGATAGTCCTTTGCCACTCACCTTCTTTGATTTGAAAAATACTTTCAACAACTAATCCATACATTAGATATGCATGTAGGTAATAAATTCTTCCTTTAACAAGCTGATATCAGGGGTGCCTGGGTGGCTCAGTCAGTAGAGTGTCTGCCTTCTGCTCAGGTCATGACTCCAGGGACCTGAGATTGAGCCCCACATTAGGCTCTCTGCTCAGTGGGGCATCTGCTTCTCCTTATCCCTCTGCCTGCCATTCCCCTGCTTGTGTTTGCTCTCTCTCTCTGTCAAATAAATAAATAAATAAAATCTTAAAAAAAAAAAACCCAACCAAACAAACAAGCAGATAGCACAGAGAATGGTTAATTTAAGTCTTTTACATGAGCACATAAAAGTTATGGAGTTTTTTGTTTGATAATGTCTATCTAGCACATAGTAGTAGCTCAATGTTAGTTTCCTTCCTTTGTTTTAATTGGTTTCCTTATTAAATACATTTAATAACAGCATTTATCAAACATATATATTATGCCAAAATATACTATATTTTATCCTATTTAAGTTTATAGTCTAATGCTAATGGTAGCATTATTTTATCATTTTAATTTTCCTTTTAAAAATGAGCAAGCTGAGATTCAGAAAGGTCAAGTAACTTGCCCAAGGTCACTTAGCCAGTAAAGAACTGGCCTGTCATTTTGATATAAGACTCCTTGCCTCCTAATACTTAAATAAAGTTTGCAGCCATAGGAGGGATGGGAGATTTCATTAGGGCAGGGGAGCACAGGTTTAATTTTGGAAGATGGCTTACACAACATGGGGGTACTTTGAGGGAGGGCAGTATGGGGTAGGGGAAAAGCAAGGGACACTTTCCCTTTGGTTAGCCAAAGAGTTACAGAAGTTTGGGAGAATGGGGAGAGGGAGGCCTAAGAGATCAATGGGGAAAAAGGGTCATAGGGCAAGACGTAGGCGGTCTGCTTTTGTTATTTATCAGATTCATCTCTTGCCATTCCTAAGTTACATTATTAGGACAATAATGTGGAGGTCTCCCTCGCTACAGCACACAGTGCTACAATTAAGTGCCCAGAATTTTCCCTCTAATATTAGCACCAGGAGAATATGTTCTGCTTCTGATCAACCAGCTTTTATTCAGTGGACACTGGGAATCTTATATGTATTTGTATTTCCTTCATTGCTTTGGCTGCTAGGAAGCTCAGAGTCAAATTTGTGGCCCAGTTCTCATAACTGTAAGGTCTGCAGGATACAGGATTGTATCCTTACTCTCTACTCCCTCCCTTTTCCTATTACTCCTATATCTATATCTGTATCTGTATCTATATCTACCTAGCTACATTATACATATTTATGTAAGCTGAATAAATTGTGTGTGTGTGTGTGTGTGTGTGTGCACATGTATGTGCACTTGTATGAAAGTCCAGGTCAGATTATTATTTTTTTTTAATTTTATTTTTTTATAAACATATAATATATTTTTATCCCCAGGGGTACAGGTCTGTGAATCGCCAGGTTTACACACTTCACAGCACTCACCATAGCACATACCCTCCCCAATGTCCATAACCCCACACCCCTTCTCCCAAACTCCTCCCCCAATCAACCCTCATTTTGTTTTGTGAGATTAAGAGTCACTTATGGTTTGTCTCCCTCCCAATCCCATCTTGTTTCATTTACTCTTCTCCTACCCCCTTAACCCCCCATGTTGCATCTCCTCTCCCTCATATCAGGGAGATCATATGATAGTTGTCTTTCTCCGATTGACTTATTTTGCTAAGCATGATACCCTCTAGTTCCATCCACGTCGTCGCAAATGGCAAGATTTCATTTCTTTTGATGGCTGCATAGTATTCCATTGTGTATATATACCACATCTTCTTTATCCATTCGTCTGTTGATGGACATCTAGGTTCTTTCCATAGTTTGGCTATTGTGGACATTGCTGCTATAAACATTCGGGTGCACGTGCCCCTTTGGATCACTACGTTTGTATCTTCAGGGTAAATACCCAGCAGTGCAATTGCTGGGTCATAGGGTAGTTCTATTTTCAACATTTTGAGGAACCTCCATGCTGTTTTCCAGAGTGGTTGCACCAACTTGCATTCCCACCAACAGTGTAGGAGGGTTCTCCTTTCTCCACATCCTCGCCAGCATCTGTCATTTCCTGAATTGTTCATTTTAGCCATTCTGACTGGTGTGAGGTGGTATCTCATTGTGGTTTTGATTTGTATTTCCCTGATGCCAAGTGATATGGAGCATTCTTTCATGTGTCTGTTGGCCATCTGGATGTCTTCTTTGCAGAAATGTCTGTTCATGTCTTCTGCCCATTTCTTGATTGCATTATTTGTTCTTTGGGTGTTGAGTCTGCTAAGTTCTTTATAGATTTTGGACACTAGCCCTTTATCTGATATGTCATTTGCAAATATCTTCTCCCATTCTGTCAGTTGTCTTTTGGTTTTGTTAACTGTTTCCTTTGCTGTGCAAAAGCTTTTGATCTTGATAAAATCCCAATGGTTCATTTTTACCCTTGCTTCCCTTGCCTTTGGCGATGTTCCTAGGAAGATGTTGCTGTGGCTGAGGTCGAAGAGGTTGCTGCCTGTGTTCTCCTCAAGGATTTTGATAGATTCCTTTCTCACATTGAGGTCTTTCATCCATTTCGAGTCTATTTTCGTGTGTGGTGTAAGGAAATGGTCCAGTTTCATTTTTCTGCATGTGGCTGTCCAATTTTCCCAACACCATTTATTGAAGAGGCTGTCTTTTTTCCATTGGACATTCTTTCCTGCTTTGTCAACTATTAGTTGACCATAGAGTTGAGGGTCTATTTCTGGGCTCTCTATTCTGTTCCATTGATCTATGTGTCTGTTTTTGTGCCAGTACCATGCTGTCTTGATGATGACAGCTTTGTAATAGAGCTTGAAGTCCGGAATTGTGATGCCACCAACTTTGGCTTTCTTTTTCAATATTCCTTTGGCTATTCGAGGTCTTTTCTGGTTCCATATAAATTTTAGGATTATTTGTTCCATTTCTTTGAAAAAAATGGATGGTACTTTGATAGGAATGCCTTAAATGTGTAGATTGCTTTAGGTAGCATAGACATTTTCACAATATTTATTCTTCCAATCCAGGAGCATGGAACATTTTTCCATTTCTTCGTGTCTTCCTCAATTTCTTTCACGAGTACTATATAGTTTTCTGTGTATAGATTCTTAGTCTCTTTGGTTAGGTTTATTCCTAGGTATCTTATAGTTTTGGGTGCAATTGTAAATGGGGTGGACTCCTTAATTTCTCTTTCTTCTGTCTTGTTGTTGGTGTAGAGAAATGCAACTGATTTCTGTGCATTGATTTTATATCCTGACACTTTACTGACTTCCTGTACAAGTTCTAGCAGTTTTGGAGCGGAGTCTTTTGGGTTTTCCACATATAGTATCATATCATCTGCGAAGAGTGATAGTTTGACTTCTTCTTTGCCAATTTGGATGCCTTTAATTTCCTTTTGTTGTCTGATTGCTGAGGCTAGGACTTCTAGTACTATGTTGAATAGCAGTGGTGATAATGGACATCCCTGCCGTGTTCCTGACCTTAGCGGAAAAGCTTTCAGTTTTTCTCCATTGAGAATGATATTTGCGGTGGGTTTTTCATAGATGGCTTTGATGATATTGAGGTATGTGCCCTCTATCCCTACACTTTGAAGAGTTTTGATCAGGAAGGGATGCTGTACTTTGTCAAATGCTTTTTCAGCATCTATGGAGAGTATCATATGGTTCTTGTTCTTTCTTTTATTAATGTGTTGTATCACATTGATTGATTTGCGGATGTTGAACCAACCTTGCAGCCCTGGAATAAATCCCACTTGGTCGTGGTGAATAATCCTTTTAATGTACTGTTGAATCCTATTGGCTAGTATTTTGGTGAGAATTTTTGCATCTGTGTTCATCAAGGATATTGATCTGTAGTTCTCTTTTTTGATGGGATCCTTGTCCGGTTTTGGGATCAAGGTGATGCTGGCCTCATAAAATGAGTTTGGAAGTTTTCCTTCCATTTCTATATTTTGGAACAGTTTCAGGAGAATAGGAATTAGTTCTTCTTTAAATGTTTGGTAGAATTCCCCTGGGAAGCCGTCTGGCCCTGGGCTTTTGTTTGTTTGGAGGTTCTTGATGACTGTTTCAGGTCAGGTTATTTTTTAAATGTGATAATTTGGGAGAAGTTTCAAGGATACCTTCTGCAACCTGACACCAAACTGTTGGTCATATTTAAATTTTACTTTTCTAAGCATTTCTAGAAATTGTTTGTTTAAGTAATTACATGAATGCTTAAGAGTGGTATGTTCTCCTCTGTCTCTTGCCTTGTGATCTTGTGCTACCTCAGAGACTGGTTTTGCTTCAGGGAAGATGACCTGAGTAGCTAGTACCTGTCCCCACTCTCTAAGACTCTCATCTTTCAACCAAATGATGGACTTTGCCTACTTGTAGACATATAGACACACAGTGTTATCGAAAGAGCATGCTCATGTTTTCAGCTCTAAATATATACGTGGTTCTACTGGAGAGCCCTGGCCTGGTCCTTGTGCATGGAAATTCGGAGAGCTTGGCTCTAACACAGACAAACAGGGGCCTCTAAAGTATGATTTTAAGGTTCGTGGTCTAAATAAGTACAGAATTTAATTTTGTGAGAAAGAAGGCTAGTGTTAAACCTGTGGAAAGAACCTTATTTTCCATATTTGCATTTTCACTTGCCTCAAATTTTATTCTTCTTAGGCTCCATCCAGTGTTTGTTTTTTATGCCCTTGCCTCAAGATTATTTTGAATGGCCCAGTCTCCCAAGTTTATTAAAGAAAATGCTTACTCATGACCAAAGATCTCAATGGAAGTGTAGTGTGACCCTAGTTTCAATGAAATATTTCAAACATTGACTTTAGAATTTGCTTATCTTACTTCTTGTGTTTAAGTTGCCAGGGAATAAACACAGGGACCCGTCTACACATGTGAGGGTGCATGAGGAGCTGTACATTCAATCAAGCATTTCCTCTGACCCTCATTTACTTTATCTAAAACTTATTCTCTAATCATTTCATACATATCTGTCTTTTCAACACCACCACAAAATCTTCATGGGCAGGAATTTTGCCTACCACTTCTCATAGCACCTAGAACATTCTGTGTGTGTAGTACATAAGAAAATTCTCAAAGGAACATTTTCCAAGTAAAATTTAATTCACTGTAACACTTGCTGAGCCTCTACTATGTGGGAGGCATGGTGCTTCTTGCTTTGAGGAACATAAAGAAGAATAGGATGTACCTCCTGACCTCAAGGAACTTACTGATAACAAAACATAGTAAGTTTTCGAATGAGATATTCCTTCTATGATTTGTTTGCTCTTTGGAAGTAGACAGAGACCATGGAAATGTACCTTGTTACTAGGCTATATTGACCCAGGGCCACACTGACTGTGGTTGGACTCCATCCAAAGGCACATTTCCATAAGACAGGAAAATGGGTACATCTTGAGATGACAAAGCATGAGAAAGATAAGATTTCTGACTATGTGGTTACAGTAATATTTGTCAAAGCATGGTTTGCTAAATACCTGCATCTTAAATATGGCTAAATATAGATTTTTGGGCTTCAACTCAGATCAACTGAATACAAATTTTGAGGACTGAAGCCATAGAATCCACAAATTCTTCACTCTAACACACTTGCTCAGTTGATTCTGAAGTTTGAAAACCATTGATCAAAGGGTTGGTGTATTTAGAAATACACCAAGAGGGTCATAATTGAGATGAAACTTACCAGTTTGTTGTTTATCCCCTTTCTCAATGTTCTCCATGATTCCTAATCACTATGTACTTTCTATAATGGTTCTACATTACCTTTAGATATACAAATGCCTTGAGCTATCACATTAGAAATATAAAACTGGGGCACCTGGGAGGCTCAGTCGGTTGAACATTGACTCTTGATATTGGCTCAGGTGATGATCTCTGGGTCTTGAGATCAAGCCCTGCGTTGGGTTCCATGCTGGGTGTAGAGACAGCTTGAGATTCTCTCTCTCCCTCTTTCTCTGCCCCTCTCTCCCTCCGCTTGCTCTCTCTCTCTCTTAAAAAAAGAGAGAAATAAAAACTAAATTGTAGAGGGTGAAGATCATTTCTCTTTTTCCAATTGAAGCACTCAGAGAGAAGAATCAAACTGTACTATCATCCACGCTCATATCATGGATGACTGGATGGACTGTGCTTTCACCTGTGGTGTGGACTGCCGAGGGCAGGGCAAGTACCCATGTCTTCAGGTGTTTGTGAACCTCACCCATTCAGGTCAGAAAGCTCTCCTACGTTATAATGAAGAGGCTGTCCAGATAAATTCCAAGGTAATGTAAAGTTCATGTAATGAAGGAGTTCTAATTATAGTCCTCCTTTCTGTGCCAGACTGTCCCCAGCAGAGTGCAGTACCCCAGACCATCTCTAGGGATAAAGCTCTTTCCCTCCAGTGAATGCCTTTACAGGATAAAGGAAGCTAAAAGCATTCTTGGAGGAAAAAATGGGGTATATAGAATGGAAAGGAATTATTCCAATTTTGCGAACTGGTGTCTAGAATTTTCCAGCTGAGCCAGTGAACAGAGTCAATTGTGGGCAGTTTTACTTTTGGAAGTCCTATTCCCTATCATATAAAAAGTGTGAAAATGTACTCGCAACACATCTTAAATCAAGTAAACAATTTTTCTTATCAAATAAATTTAAAAGATTATAATTTTGATTTTAATAGGTTACTAAATTGGTTCATATGTTTATAGTGTTTATTTACACCTAACTATGAAAAAGTTAGCTTGTATTAGATTAGTTAACATGCTATACTTTGTTGTCTTTACTTGGGCACTAATCCATCTGATGATTTCTGTTTTGGATGCAATAATTTTTAAGGTCTCAAACATTTCTGTAGGCCTTAAGCACAGTGCCATGAGTGCCTAGTGAATATGCTAAAAAATCTCAAGTTTTTTTGGGAAAAAAAAAAAATCACCAGCTGACAGATCCCATCTCTGGTTCTGCCCTCCGCGAACCAAAGCCTATGTAGGAAGGCTTTGTGGGCCTAGGGCAGAAGCCTCAACACGCTATCCCTTAGGGAAAGATTTTCTATGGGAAATCAAGACAACTAGGCTAGAGGCATTCATAGGTGTTGAAAGCACATAGTGAGCTCAACAGATATTTTTTGAGTGGACAAAGACCAAGTGCCTGTATGTGGAGAGAGCATGGTCCTTACGATGCTGGTCACTGCCTCTTCTGCAATGTCTATATTCTAAGAATCCCTTCTCCCATTTCTGCCTAGTGCCTGGAAATGGCCATTTCACTCTGTGCCCTCCTGTCCACCTTTCCCCATGGGCTGTGCAACAGGTTTCATCACCTTCTGAGATCGAAACTCTCCATGAATAGCTTCGGTTTGAAGCCTTTTCAGAATTAAAACTGTTGCTTAAATGCTTGGTTTCGGGGACAGTGTCCTCATGTTTCTTCCTCCTTCATACTCCTAGTGCTTTTACACACCCAAGTGCCACCGAGACAGGAATGATTTGCTCAACAGTGCTCTGGACATAAAGGAATTCTTCGATCACAAAAATGGGACCCCTTTTTCATGCTTCTACAGTCCAGACAGCCGATCTGAAGATGTCATTCTCATAAAAAAGTACGACCAAATGGTTATCTTCCACTGTTTATTCTGGCCAATGCTGACTTTGCTAGGTGGTGCCCTGATTGTTGGCATGGTGAGATTAACACAGTACCTGTCCCTATTGTGTGAAAAATATAGACCCCCCCACAGAGACGAGGTAGGTGGCAAAGTACCTTATATGGAACAGCATCGATTCAAACTGTGGAGCATGGGGAGGAGCCAAGAAAGAAGCAGAGAAATCTTACGTTAAGGTCTTGGCCTTTGGATGCTTGGCAATTTTTGCGCCTGAGGACCTAATGATGCCTGCTTGGAGACTAACCATGTAGAGACCATTCAAATTAAGTATGATACTTCACACAGGAAGAAACATTTTTAAAAAGCCTCATTATGTAGTCCATCTATTCTATAAATAACCACAAACTCACCGTCTTTTCCTCTACCCCACATATTCCACGTGAGCCAAGGCAGTGCTTTTGTTCCCTCATGGCAACACAGGCTTCAGGTAGTTGTGCTTGATCTAATTTCGGCTCTTGTGGAACCCTTTGGTGTGGAGTACACGATGAGGGCATCTACCTGCTGACCACTGAATGGCCAGTCTCTTTGTTGGCAACAGAGTTCACCTCAAAATATTTCTCAAAAAAAAAAATCTTAGGGGCACCTGGGTGGCTCAGTGGGTTAAAGCCTCTGCCTTCAGCTCAGGTCATGATCCCAGAGTCCTGGGATGGAGCCCTGCATCGGGCTCTCTGCTCAGTGGGGAGCCTGCTTCCTCCTCTCTCTCTCTGCCTGCCTCTCTGCCTACTTGTGATGTCTGTCAAATAAATAAAAATCTTTAAAAAAAATAAAAAAAATCTTAGTGAAAATCAAGTCATTCACGATTAAGTTAGGAAGAGAATAATCTGGTAATTTCAAAAAAATGTGGGCTACCATTCTACCTCCCCATTCATGATAAAGGAGGAAAGCTGCTGCCTAGCAAATTCACTAAGTTTGGAGCTATTCATACTTAACCTTGCCATATACCATGTAATTTTGCTTTCAGCCACATTTTTCTAGTTAATTATGCTTTCCATAAGCTCATTTTATTCTCTGTGCACATTCTGGTGGGAGTGGGAGAGATGGCCAGAAATGTGAAGCAGGGAGAGGCTGTACTAGATGGAATTGAACATTCATGTCAGATGATCCACATTGTAGACAGGTCCCCCATGGTTAGTCAGCAAATGTCCGAGCTTTAATTAATGACTCAACTATGGTTACTAACTAATGAATGTCACAGGGCTCTCCCAACAAGTGCTTTCCAGAGTAAGCTGAATATGAGTTGAAAAGAGTTTGTTCTGAAAACCAACATGCCTTAAAGTATCTTTAAATTTAAAAAGTCATATATCATGGACAATAGAAAGAATGAGACTTTTGAAGCAACTTTTATATGCAGATGTAATCAAAACAGAAAATTTGCTTCTAAGTCAATATTATGCTTTTTCATATGAATTCAAGTCACAAATGACTAAATAGACTGGATAATTAGAGCAATATTGACTTCACAAAAAATAAAAAAATTAAAAAAAAATAAATAGAAATCCTGTGGTGGGGGGGGATATTGACTTCACAAGTAATGAACAATTTTGGTGCTTTCTCATCTTTCTAGTGTGGAATGGTAGAAAAAACACATGCCTTAGAGGATTTTATGTGAATTCGTAGGCCATCATTACAGCTTTTCAGATATGTATCCTCGAGCAATTCTGCTCAATGGCAATGAATGTTCAAGCCTCGCTCTTCTCACTTATAAAATGAGGACAATCTCTTCCTTTATAGGGTTAAGGAATAAACAAGGCAGAGTATATAAAATACCTCGCTCAACTTCTGACATCTAGTAAAAGTGCTCAAAAATGTTAGTAGATAAAAAAAAATTGTTTTCTAAGTTTCAATGTTCAGCCAGCCTTATCCCTCTTCGGGTATGTACCCAAAGGAAATGAAATCAATACCTCCAAGAGACAATCTGCACTCCCCAGTTCAGTGGAGCATTACTGACAGTAGTCAAGATATGGAACAACCACTGTCCATCAACAGATGAATAAATTGTGATCATACACACACACACACACACACACACACACACACAGAAAACACATTTACATGAGGTGTATATCTACACACAATGGAATATTATTCAGACTTAAAAAAGGAGACCCTGCCATTTGCAATGACATGCATAAACCCAGAGGGCATTATGCTAAGTAAAATAAGCCATACACACAAAGGGAAAAAAAACTATTTCATTTATATGTGGATTCCAAAAATGTCAAATACACAGAGGCAGATAGGATACATAGAGTAGGATGGTGATTATTGGGAGTGGGGGAAATGTTGAGATGTTAATTAAAGTGTACAAACTTTGTTATCAGATGAATTAAGTCTAGAGATCTCATGTGCAGCATGAAGACGATGACAATAATACTATCTTGAATACTGGAAATTTGCTAAGAAAGTACATTTCAGGTGTTCTCATCACACAGATACATAAGGTAACTATGTGAGATGATACATTGATTAGCTTGATTATAATTATTTGCTATACATAAATTCCAAATCATATTGTACACCTAAAATATATATAAATATTATTAAAAAGTAAAATTGAGTCAGCCTTGGTACCTTTCATTGGTTAGCTGGTTGTAGGGGCTAGTGTAGGGAACTGTAGGAGAAGATTCCTTCCCACCTTCTCTTGGCTAAATGTAATACATATTTAAGGTCCAGAACATGCCGTTTAAGAGGTTGTGGTAAATTATTTTGTATACCAGACTTTCCTGAAATAAAACAGATGTATGCACACATCTTTTAAATCGTTTTGCAAATTGAGAGTCTATAGATTTCTTAAGGGCACCTCTCTAGTCATTTCTTAGTTTGACATGCATCTAACAGCATGCAATTCTTGGGATTTTTCTCCTAACAAATTCAAAACCACTGATTTAAAACCTAAAAAGTGAAAGTGGGAAACCTGAAGTGTTTCAATTACTACAGTTTTCCACTCACAGACTGCAGCTACTTGGTTCATCTCCTGATCTCATCTCAGGAAAGAGAGACATTATGCTTGGAGAACAAAGTCAATTTAGAACAATGTTAATTCAAAGTCATGCAAACCATTTGGCAAAGAAAATTTAAGCAATTACTTGTTGTTAATTGCTTAGAAGTACAAAGTATCAATGCCCACATGTATTACTAGTCCAAGGAAAGCCCAGACTTCCCCTTTGCAAAGTTTATGATAACTGCAAGCAAAACCAGTTTGCTTCCACCTTAACCTCACTTTTTAGGTTCTGGTCTTTAACTGATTTGAAAAAAAATCTGTCTGCATATACGAACACATTCATATGTGTAGGTATATACATATATTTCTGCTTGAAACACATAATGCCTTATGCTTAAAAGTAGTTAATATTCAAACAGATATGTCTCTCAATATTCATCAATTTACTGGGGCAGAAAAGTTGCCTTTTAAGACACAATAGTTTCAGGTTTTCAATCAACTATTCTTAGTCATTATTGGTAAGAACTCAAGTTCAGCTAAATTTTGAGTATTAGGAACACCAGTTTGCTTTTAAGTATTCAAAAAAAAAGGCAAAATATAATTATCACAGTTTTTTTTGTTGTTGTTTAAAGTACATAGTACACTAAGGATTGTTTGGACACAAGTTTTTTTCTTTTTCTTTTTTTTAATAAACAGCGTGATGTTACAGACTGCAAAGTTAAAAGAAAAGCAGACATTGACAGTTTCTGATGAGCACAAACAGTAAGTGCAGTCACAGGCCAAACTTCTTGCTAGGAACAGCAAGACTGGGAAGAGGTCTTAAATTTAGTGACACTATTATTCTATATTCTCAGTACAGTAACACATGCATCTTGCTGTGTCAAATACTTTTTTGGGCCATCATTAAAAGAACATTTAAAAACATTCTTCTCCTAATGAATGCATTATACCATAGGACTTCAATTCACTGAATGACAAAATATAGAGAAATAGATTTGGTACAATAAAAGGGGCCAAAAAAGGGTGGTGGGGGCTTCTCCCAGAACAAAGTCAACATTTGATGTGTTAGTAGTCTTCTTTTGGTAGTGCCACATTCCCCAAAATATTAAAGTGCTCTGTTCCAAAAGGATATATTTAGATTTTATTCAACCCAATTAAGCCCAAGGACTAAGTCACATTGAAACTATTAATTGTATTCGAAACTTAGGTTCCACAGCCAAAAACATTTCTAGAAACCACATGAAGTTCAAGCTCTCCAACCACTCTTTGGAACATAGCCAAAAACATTTCTAGAAACCACATGAAGTTCAAGCTCTCCAACCACTCTTTGGAACAAAAATTAAAACTGATAAGGGGCTTTTTCTTATGAAATTGGTAGATCATGATGACTACATTTGGAAATTCATACTAGAATGAAGAAGTTTAGTCTTATTAAAGATACTTCGAGAAAATATAAAACAATGAAACTTTTCTGCCTCCTTGTTTACCTAAAAGGAGGAACAAAAATAAGAATCACCTAAAAATATGCATGGCTCTTAGCATAACCACAAAATTATTGTAGTGACAGATTAAACAAGGTTTCAGATAGATTTATAGACTTAATTGGCTTACAAAATGCATTAAAAAACCTTTCCATACTTACCAACATGAAGAATGGTGTCTACTGTTGGTCTACTGTTGGTAGTGAAAATCAGTTACCTAAACTACCTAAACGTACAATAGACTGATTCCCACCCCTCCAACCCCCCCAACCCGCCCACTAAAACTCATTATGTAGTTGTGTAAAAATTAAGTCAGAAAATTTCCTTATGGCTCATAACTGTCATTTTATGCTAACTAGCATGACTGTAATATTAACATGTCTAAAACTAAGGAAAAGGAATGGTGCTTCATGAATAAAAAGGAAGTGTGAAACTTTTATCAGTGGAATACTTGGACGAAATAAGCTTATTTAAAAACTAACATCCCAACTTGGGAAACTCCTAATAGATTCTAAACACTTCTAAACTTTAGAACCTGATGTTTACACCTTTTATAAAAGATGCCTCTTGACTAGGGCTAGCAAGCAGTGTGTACACAAGTAGAAATGTGTGCAAATATACACACACCAATTTCACTAATAAGAAAAGAGAACAACTAATTTTGAATGCCAAATTCAAGAATCCAGTACCATAAGCCTCCTGGAGCTATAGTCTTTTCCATGGCTGGAGTAATGATTACATTTTAACCGAAAATTTTTCTCAAGTCTCCAATGCCATTAAAAATATGGATGCCAACTCTTGACTTTTTATAAATCTAAACTACAGTGCTCTGGAAATTTCTGTAACATCAGAGCCTTAAGTATTGAATTGTGACTCATTTATTATTATTATTTTTTTCTTATTAACCCTCTGAGGTAGTTACCAAACCAATTTCTTCAGGACCATAGTTATCTTGAGCTAAACCCCACGATCTTTTCAGAAAGTGAAAGTAACTTTTGAAAGAAAAGAAAAAAAGGCTTCCCAGGCCACGGAACATAAGATACACTTATAATTTTAATGTAATAATTAAAAAATAAAAATGGTTTGGGTTTATATTTTAAAAAACAGCCCAGCTGTATTACTCTGTCACCAAGAATTGTTATTTGAAGATCCCGTCAGTGCTGAGTTTTATAGGTCAGCCTTGATGAAGAGTTAGTTCCCTCATGGTATGCAAATATACTCTCAACTTTCTGCCTTCTCTTAGAAGGCTCCATCTAAGACTTCCCTTAGAAGTGCCTCTTCTGAGCAGGATGGATACGAAGAATGTGATTCATTCAAATAACTCCTCCCTGTTCTACCCTCTCCTTCAACATTCCCCTCTTCTCAGAAACATCTGAAGTATGAAAGTTGTTTTTAAATAGCAGAAGCACCAAAATCCATTAACACCACATATAGTCTTTAAACTGAAATATTTTAGTGATGTCTTGGACATCAAATTGATTTTTTAAGGTGGATTCTGAGTGTGTGGGTCCAGCCCAGGTCCGCAGTTTGTGCAGACATAGAAACAAAAGAAAGTTAAAACATTCAGAAAAAGTTAACCGCTCGCTTTTAAAATAATGCTGGAAATCAAATTTTTTCAAAGAATTGGCAAGCATGGGCTATTGGTCAGAATATGAATTAGATGGATTTACAAAATCATTAAGAAACAAATCCAAGTTTATGTGCTGTGAAATTTCCATGGTTCTTTTAAAATAGATAGGCTGCTCATAATTTTTTTATAATGCTAAATCACTCAATTTTTGATGGAAAAAGAATACAGATGGACTGTGTTTTACCTATATGAAAATCACCAATCCATTGAAAATAAAATCCAAGAGGGTATATACATTCTAATCAAGTCATTGATTATTTTCCTGATTAATAAGAACTACACTTTACACAAAATACTTTGTCAGCAGCTGTTTTCATCAAAAAAACCAATATTCATAGTTTCACAGTTGAAAAAATTACACATTAAAATATTTTACAATTCATTGTATATTCACCAGGTTCCCATTTCCTAATATAAAGCAGATTAGAAGGGAAAACCTCAAAGTTGATTACTTTGACAGTGAGTTTTACAGAGGACACTAAGAACCACAAAAAGCTTAGGTTCTATCATAAAATAGTGACCAAATTCCATTCTTCTTTAAAAAATCCAATTAAAAACATCTTTTTTAAAAACCAAATTCTACAATATGATTAGATTTCAAATTAACAGCAGTCTAAAAATCTTCAAAATAAATGATTTTGTATACTGAGAATATGATAAAAAGTTAAAACATGATTTTCAGATTATATCTTACTAGAATATGTTTAAAATTAGGTTTTATTTTCTTTAAACCTGCTTCCCCCCCCACCCCCAAAATAGTCATTGAAGGAACTGTTTCTCAAGTGACCAAATGAAACTGTAAAGTCAATAGTTAGATATACCACATTCAATGACAAGGATGGCTGGCCACAGGAATTGACCAATCCATGGGAAGTGATCGGACACTGAAGTACCTGGAAATGGCTTACCACTGACTTGACAGCCTAGTCACCCCATGTAGCATTCAATTCAATTTTTGGTTCTTTGCCTTCTGAGCACTACCTGACCCTTTTTTCTTATTTTCAATGTTGTTTGCTTTAACTCTGCTTGGACTCATTAAAAATTTGCTTTGCTTTTAGCTAGATCGCTTAACCTACATTCTTTGTAAAATTTGTCTACACTTCTTCAAACAGAATTAACTTGGTTGCAATAACTGAAAATAAATGTAAATGATGAAATAAGCTCTGTGGCTGTGTTTTAATGGAGAGGTCCCAGGGGAAGGGGACTAGCTGGACTGATGTGAGACATGCAAAAATTATGTAAAGTTTATGCAAGGAAGCTCAAAGCTTTTTGGCACTCAGGTAAAACGCTGTTCTGTTAAATCTTCAGTTTCCACCATCAGAGTTTCAGATTTGTACCATTTCATTGAATTTTCCTGTAATTAATCCCTGATACAGAAAAGACGGGGAAGTTAGTATGTATTAACTGAATATATATAAAAGGCACAAAATGTTAAAGAAGTTTTAATAAGTTATGAAATCTACATCTGCAAAAGAATCTATTTGGCTTCCTGCTTAAAATGGGAGTTTAAATTCTTCTTAACTATTCCAAGACAGTTTACAGAAATAAGTTCCCCTAAATCTTCAAATTTATTTTTCTTGTTGGCAATATTATATACATGCTTTAGTGAAGTACCTAAGTCTCCAATAATTAGGCCCTTTAAGGGCTCTAAAATAGCCAAATATTAAGAGTATTTGAATTAGAGTCCCTTGTTTACTATTCAAGACTTCTATTACAGGTAACTGATTTCATAAATGAGTATCATTTAAGTGATGTTGTTTTACTAGAGTATATAATGCACACTTTTTATAAAGTTGTATGCCAATAATATGCCTAATCTAGAAAACTGTCAGTAAATTATTGCACTTTTTCTGGTGTGGCACCTGGACATTTGCTAAAGCTATTTCCTAGGGCATTAATCATTCATTTCAAATACTGAGTAAAATATCAGATTCTAGAGTGATGACTAGCATTAGCCCCTACACCTTGGGTTAATGTTTCCCAAGTGTTTAAGAATGTATCCTGCACTCAAATGCAATTTATAAAGTTGGACAGTGAGCCCTAATTGCGTGGAGATGGGACATGATCTTAAAATGGTTTAAGGTCCTACTTTTATTATCCAGATATTGCATAAATAGCCTAAAAAGGGAAAAAGTTCATGGTTTCTATTCCCCCATGTTATAAAGTATTATTCATGAGCATACCTCGGTGAGGGGTTGAAGCAATGAAGAAGATACTCTATATTGTGTTAATTTTGGTAACTCGTTTCGTGACTGAGGCATTATCAACTATAAAGGAAGATGGAGAATGGGGGAGTCATATGAAAACAGAAAGAAATAAAACAAAAGAAGATGAACTTTAATCTGTTTTCCTTATGTAGTTATACACTAGTCATTGGTATAAATGGGATAGTGCCTGAGCCTCACCCACAGACCAAGAGGAAAGCTGACCATGCTGCTATGAACAATAAAAAATTGGGGGTGCAAAACAATGCATGAGTATGGGACAGATCATGTAAATAAAGAATATATATTAATGATAGTTTCTATAATATAAATAGCCTTTAATAAAAAAAATAATCTTTTTAATAACATTAATACTCACTTCTATTTTCTGGAAACATGCATGAAAAATGTATTCAATTCAATTGCAAAAGGAAAAAAAAAAAATCAACCTATGGTGAATACTGTACAATTCTGAAGCAAGAACTAGTCCTGCTCATTCTTTCTCTCTGATGATTATTGTACTTTGTGGGAGCCCAGAATTTCCCTGGGAGATAAGAATCAGATTCTTGTAAATACTGTCCAGAAAAAAACCCAAAAACACCACCTTATAACAGGTCTCACTTGTGACTGCTTCCAGAACTTTGCAGATAAAGACCCCAAATCGTCAAAAGGTTTGATTTATTAAAAAGGAAAAGTCTCTGATGAAATCTCAAGAGCCCCTTCCACCCCAAGCATTTTTCTCTTCATTAAACAAGGAGTCAAAAAACCCACCTCAAACTATAAATTGAACAGCAATGGAAAAATAAGAAATCTTCATTATTTTCTAATCTCAATGTAATTTAACACCAAACTTCAGTTTCCTTGGACCTAATGCAATAATAGACTGTGTTGTGTCCACAATTTCAAAACATAGAACATTTGTAAGACAAAAAAAGAACATCATTCTTTTACCTTCTCCATCATTTCTATATATTTTGGGGTTTTTTTGTTTTGTTTTCTTTTTTAAAAAAAGATACAAACAATCTTCAAAGTTTACCTTTTTGGACTTAAGGCATAACATGAAATTGCGCATTATTCTAAAGCTTAATTTTGAAATGAACTAGTTTAGTGCTCTCAAACCCTGTTTGCGTTTACATTATTTAAATTATATAGTATTTTATTTCTGTTCTTGTGTAAATTCTAATGCTGTTCATGGATTGTGCAATTCCTATGCAATCGGTCTTTGCCTGTTGACAGTTATTAACAGTGCAGGATAGTATCCAGATAATGAGCTTTCGGTTTCTCAGTTATCATTTCAGTTCAAAGCATGCTGCTTAATTGTGTGGAAGATCCAATCCATTTTTGTTGTCCAGCCACCATGATGTGCATCATTCATTTGTTTCATGAAATATTCCAAAGCCTCTTGTTCGGTTTTATCTAAAGCTAGGGTCTTTCGAATGTATGCAATATCATCAAAAGATTGTAGTTCTGGCATTCCAGAGCCAAGCATCATTGAGAAAAGATTTATGAAGAGATTGGCGTGCTGCCGGATAGCCAGATAAGCCTTGTAGCACATCTCCTGAAACCTACAAGTGATAAGCAGAGTGTAATCAGTATGGAGCGAATGGGGTTAATACCTTCAGGTGTCTGCTCAAATGTCACATCATTAGAGAGGACTTCTTGAGCAAATCTATAAAAAATAGCATTCCTCTCCCCACTCCCCTTACCAACACTTTCTGTTCTCTTCACCCCATGCTAGGATGTAACCTCCGTGAGTCCATGAGGATTGTGTTTACTGCTTATCACCAGCACCTTAGAATAGTACCTGGTACATCAGCAGTTTACTAAGGATTTATTAAATGTAAGAACTGGTCCATACCAAAGCCTTTAGGATTTAGTCTAGGACCAGGACAGAATTGCGGATAAAATGGAATTTTATACAAGGTTTTTGAAAGTACTTTCAGGTTTAAGATAGACTGATGATATACCAGAAGGCGATCAGAAAAATCATAAATAAATGCGGTAATTACAGTTTACTGATTTCATCAAATTATAAGACTAAAAAATGTTGTCTTAAGCACTATACATTATCAGTATAGAGAAGATACAGTCCAATTATTTAAGCAACAGTAAATAAAAGCCTTTAATATATTAAAAAGTTTAAGAATCACTTTCTTAGGTCTTAATTAACTAAATAATTAATTTCAGGCTTTCACTAATTAATAAATTGGTTTTTCTTTCCATTTTTCTTCATAGCATTGTACAATAAATAAATACATTAAAATACTCAGGCCAGAATGTTAATAAAACATATTTTAAATTGCTTGAAAAATATCAATTATTTTTGAGAGAGCAGAAAGAATTCTGTACTTTGTATTTTTGATTTCTTGAACTTACCTCTCAAATTCTCTTGTCTTTGTGCATTCTTGGGCTCCTTTACTAATCACTATTAAGAAATCTTGTGTCAAAACAAATGGCACACGTTCCCGTTTATAACCAAATTTTTTCTTCTTGTGATCCAAAAAGTGTCCAAAATCTATATGAAACAGCTTTCAAAAATAAAGAATTGTATTATAGCTTGACAAATTCAGAAATGCAATATCCTGAATTAATAAATTTAAGAACGCCAAAACATTTTAAAAAGAGAAAGCTATTACTTGTCCATCATCTTTAACCATGATGTTACTATTGTGACGATCTCCAATGCCCAGAATGAAGGTAGCGACACAATATCCAGCACATGAACGTGTGAACAGGTCAATGGCAGCATCATATCTACAGAGAAAAAATAAACACCCGATGAGTAGTGTGCTAACAGAGTAATCCGGTCCAAATTGGAAAAAGATGGTCAAAGTCTGTACTGAAGAGTGAAAACAATCACTGACGTTAAGAGGAGGAAGTAATTATGTCCAAAGATTTGAGGTAGAAAGGACATTTCTTCCTCTGACTAAAGCGTAAGTCTTATTATGGTGAAAAAAATAGTGAAGGTGTCATGAAAAAAAAAATTCTTCTCATCATTTTAACAATGAACTAAAAGTAAATTTTGAGATGTTCAACGTTGACCTTGAAAAAAAAAGAATAAGCAAGAAAACACATTAGATACCTAAAATTGGATGTATAAAGTTGGGTATATAGGGTTTCACCAAAATTGAAGTAATTCTGATCATTCAAAGACAAAATCTCATCAAATATTTCAAAAGGTGAGCATATTTTTTTCCCAAAATAAGTACATGTTTTCTCTGGTCTCAGAGAAATGTACACAACCATTAAAAGACTCGTCTAACAAAAGCTTAAATTGACACAGGAAGAAAAGAACAACAGACTCACATTTCTCCTTTGTTCTTGTCTTTGAGCCACTGGTGGAGTGTGTGGCTGTTAAACTGCAGAGCGCCTTTCAGGCCACCTTTGCACTGAATCTGCATAATCGTGTGAGAATTTCGCACCACCTCAATAAGTCCCACACAATCACCAATTGACAGACAACCATAAGGTAACATTCTGAAAAGGATCAAGACATTTGCAATTAAGTGATGGAATATTAAAACAGCAAATATTTTAATAGGCTAATGCAGGAATATCCTTTGTGCAAATTTGTCATGGTCTCATGACTTTTACTTATAAAGGTCTCATGACCTTTACTCCTTTAACTTTGGTTTTCTTTTAAAATTAGAAAAATCCTCAAAATTATCTGCCATCATTTGTTATAAGCTTCAATTGAGAGAGCACCTAATTGAATACGAAAAAAGCATTAAGATTATTGTGGCAATAAAAATTTTATAAACACTTATGACTTTAAAAATATGGGTGTGTTTCAGCTTGTTCAGCTGAAATCTAAATAATACTTTGGGGGCAGTTCTCAAGTTTTTGGTCTCAGGACTCCTCTATACTCTTAAAAATTACTGAAATCCCAAAGAGCTTTTATTTATGTGGGTCATATCTACTGATGTTAGCAATTAAAATAGAGGAAAAGATTAAAGTATTAATTCATTTAAAAATAACAAAGTACTATGTGGTAACATAAATAACATCTTTTATGAAACAAAGAACCTTATGTTAAAAAAAAAATTCTTGGGGACCCTGGGTGGCTCAGTTGGTTAAGCATCTGACTCCTGGTTTCAGGTCAGGTCATGATCTCGTGGTCATGGGGTTCCATGCTCAGCACAGAGTCTGCTTCAGATTCTTTTTTTTTTTTTTTTTTTTTAAAGATTTTATTTATTTATTTGACAGAGAGATCACAAGTAGGCAGAGAGGCAGTCAGAGAGAGAGAGGAGGAAGCAGGCTCCCCGCGGAGCAGAGAGCCCGATGCGGGCCTCGATCCCAGGACCCTGGGACCATGACCTGAGCCGAAGGCAGAGGCTTTAACCCACTGAGCCACCCAGGCGCCCTCTGCTTCAGATTCTGTCTCCTTCTCCCTCTTCTGCTCTTGCACTCTCTCTCACTCTCAAATAAATAAAGAAAATCTTTAAAAAAGAAATTCTTAGTAAGAAGAATGACACTTTCCCATATTTTCAAATTTCTTTAATGTCTGGCTTCATAGTACTGAGCTGGATTCTTCTATATACTTCTGTATTCAATCTAAAGCAATATTTTAATTGAAGCATATGAAGAAAATCTGGCCTTGTGTCATTAAGTAGGTAGAAAAAGGAGTACTGTAATAGCCTTTTCAGATAATTGTAGATATTTTTCTTTGATATTATTCCAAAATTTGACAAAAGGTAGTTTCTCAAGTTGTAATATGGAATGTGAAATCATATCAATAAACTCGTCATACTGTTACATTAAAATCTATTAGTCTACCTTGCCTCTGAATGGAACTTTTACTCATATATGACTTTATATATCCTGCATTGGTCATTTGGAAGGTATTAGTTCACTGAGTTACAAAGATCTTTCAGATGGTGATACTT